TGTCTCTCTTTCTTTCTTTCTTTTTGTCCGTCTGTCTGTCTGTCTGTCTGTCCGTCTGTCTGTCTGTCTGACTACTGCAGTCTGTCTGTCTGTCTGTCTGTCTGTCTGTCGGTCGGTCTGTCTGTCTGTCTGTCAGTCTTTCTTTCTTTCTTTCTTTCTTTCTTTCTGTCTGTCTGTCGGTCTGTCTGTCTGCTGGTCTGTCAGTCTGTCTGTCTATCTGTCTGTCTGTCTGTCTGTCTTTCTTTCTTTCTTTCTTTCTTTCTTTCTTTCTTTCTTTCTTTCTTTCGTTCTTTCTTTCTTTCTGTCTGTCTGTCTGTCTGTCTGTCTGTCTGTCTGTCTGTCTGTCTGACTACTGCAGTCTGTCCGTCTGTCTCTCTGTCTGTCAGTCAGTTCGTTTGTCTGCCTGTCAGTATGTCAGTATGTTTGTATGTTTGTCTGTAGGTCGGTCTGTCTCTCTGTAGGTCTGTCTGGATGTGTGTCCCTGTGTTAGACTGTCGGTCTTTCTGACTGTTGAACAAACAGTCTGTCTGTCTGTCTGTATGGATGACGTGCTCACACACACACACACACACACACACGTTGTTGGACGCAACCCTGAAGTTGACTACTGCGTGCCATAATTTGCCAAACGATAACCCTTGCAACACTGAATGGCCCGCAGTAGCCAACCTTGCAACAGAGGCCGAGACACACACACACACACACACACAGACATGTCGATGACGTTTTTGTGCGTTTCCCCTGGCAGAGAGAAGAGGTCGAAAGACAAAGCATTTGCATCATGTCGATGTCGGTAGCACAGGTGGCGAAGGCTCTCGCAGAGGTGATGAAGTATGCAGAGGAGCGATTCCACTACAACGACCGTGGCGAGTTGTCTTTGGTGGAGGAGAGGGTGCCGCGGTACTTTGCTGTTACCGTGGATATGAGATCCACGATCATGGCCAACGGCAGTGGTTGCGTACAGGCACGAACACTCTTGGAATGATTGAGAGAGTCACCTGATATTTGTGTGGACAGCGACGCGGAAGACAGCCCATACAGTCTAAAAGGAGTGGTGCAGTGGATGTGCAGCGAAGGCATGCGCGACGAAGGACTTGTCGACATGTCAATGCAGCAGAGAGGGGGGACCTATACACCTGTGGCTTTCAGGAAGTTCATGGTGAGTGTGGCGAAGGGATGGGACATGCTTGTTGAAGGGACGAAGGACGAGTTGAAGAGGGGTGCTGCAGAAATACTTGTGCTGTCCAGAATCAAGGACATGACACAAACACCGCCCCAGGACTTTCAAGAGCTTCCCATTATTGTTGCNTTATGTTTATGTGGCCCTGCATCCTCTCACTCTCATTATATGTATAAACAAAATAGGAAAGACAGACAAACAGGTGTCTGTATGTCTGTGCGTATATATGCGTCTATGTATGTCCATTTTGTGTGTCTGTGTGTCTGTTTGTGCGTGCATGTGTATGTCCCTGTGACGCTCTGTGTGTTCGGTGATTCGTTTCTCTGTCTACGTGAGTGTGTGCGTCTCTGTGTATGTGTCTGTCTGTCTATGTGTGTCTCTGTGTGTGTGTGCGACAGTTGATGTCAACCGCCCTCTGTCCCGGTGTATCTATGCCTGTCTGCGCGAGGTTGACTACTGCGGGCCATGTAAGTGTACACCGTTGCTGTTTGATGTCGATGTGGCCCGCAGTAGTCTACCTGATGCTGTTCACTGGTAACAATGCCATCCAACTGCAAAACATGTGGCATCCAACTGTTGGTCTGTCTATCTGTCTGTTTGTCTGTCTATCTGTCAGTCTGTCGGTCTGTTTGTCTGTCTGTCGATCTGTCTGTCTGTCTGTCTGTCTGTCTGTCTCTCTGTCTCTCTGTCAGTCTGTCGGTCTGTTTGTCTGTCTGTTGGTCTGTCTGTCTGTCTGTCTGTCAGTCTGTCTGTCTGTCTCTTTTTCTTTCTTTCTTTTTTCTTTCTTTCTTTCTTTATTTATTTCTTCATTTCTGTCTCTCTGTCTGCTGGTCTGTCAGTCTGTCTGTCTATCTGTTTGTTCGTTGGACTGTCTGTCTGTCTCTCTTTCTGTCTGTCTATCAGTCTGTCAGTCTGTCTGTCTGTCTGTCTGTCTGTCTGTCTGACTACTGCAGTCTGTCTGTCTGTCTCTCTGTCTGTCTCTCTGTCTCTCTGTCTGTCTGTCTGCTGGTCTGTCTCTCTT